ATAGATAGATAGATAGATAGATAGATGGATAGATAGATAGATAATGAACATCCAACGATAGATAGATATAGATAGATAGATAGATAGATAGATAGATAGATAATGAACATCCAACGATAGATAGATAGATAGATAGATAGATAGATAGATAGATGATGAACATCCAACGATAGATAGATAGATAGATAGATAGATAATGAACATCCAACGATAGATAGATAGATAGATAGATGATGAACATCCAACGATAGATAAATAGATAGATAGATAGATAATGAACATCCAACGATAGATAGATAGATAGATAGATAGATAGATGAACATCCAACGATAGATAGATAGATGATGAACACCCAACGATAGATAGATAGATGATGAATATCCAACGATAGATAGATATACATACATAGATAATGAATATCAACGATAGATAGATAGATAGATAGATAGATAGATAGATAGATAGATAGATAGAAAATGAATATCAAACGATAGATAGATGCATACATACATGCATAGATAATGAACATACAACGATAGATGGATAGATAGATAAATGCATGCATAGATAATGAACATACAACGATTGATAGATAGATAGACAGATAATGAACATCCAACGATAGATAGATACACACATACATACAAAGATAATGAACATCCAATGATATATATATATATATATATATAGATAGATAGATAGATAGATAGATAGATAGATTATGAACAGTGATAGACATTATATGAAAGGACTGTGTTTTATCCCAGCTGGATAGACTGCGATTGATGAAAAACGTAACTCGAATAGAACTTTGGTGATCGTACATGAACTGGTGTTTCAACATGACGTGGATGTAACACATTACTCCACCCGCACGTCCAAGCTTACAACACCAGGTATTCCCAAGCGGTCACCCATCGAGGTACTGACCAGGTTCGACTTTGCTTAAATTTGGTGATCTTCCGGGAACATGAGTTTCAACGTGATGTGGCTGTGAACCATTTTTGTTCGGACATAAATCAGATAAGGGAAGACCAAAAATAATCTTTTTTCTTTTTTTATCACATTGGCCATCTCGAATTCATCAAGGCGGTAATAAATGCCCGCCAAAACTTACCTATCCCTGTATGCTTTGGGCTATTTACTATACAGGTGGGTGGAGGAAAATATATCTGTGTGAAAGTGGGCGATGGCACAAAAAAAAAAAAAAAAGGTGGGAACACTTGTTTTATCTGTTTTCGAATTTCTCTCTGAGTAGTCCCAGTGGTTTATTGCTGACCCGTCGTTAAACTGGGAAGAATGTATTCGACTTCAACGTCTAAATTAACCAGTTCATACTTCTCTACCAAATACCCTTTTACTGATCGATCAGTCTAGCAATCCTAATTACTATTTGCGTGCTATATCTCTGTGTACATTTTAATTTCTTAATTTTACAGAAAAGGTAGCAGCATCATCTTTAAAATATCGATCACATTACTGGTAAATGTATATGCACTTTGATGGAGTGTTATGGTTAAGGAGCTTGTCTGGCTAAACAAAATTACAACTGAATAGTGAATTCGATCCCTACTGAGCGCCCCTTACATTCGACCTTGTGCCACATTTAAGTTACGCTTAGGAAATTAAAACGAGCACTTCGACATGAGTAATGGCTTGCGAGCTTGTCTCGCTAAACAAAATTACGACTGAATATTCGATCCCTACTGAGCGCCCCTTAGTTTCGGCCTTGTGCCACATTTAAGCTATGCTTAGAATATTAAAACGAACACTTCGGTGCGGGCAATGGCTAGCAAGCTTATCTCGCTAAAGAAAATTACGACTGAATAGTCAAATCGATCCCCACTGGGCGCCCCTTACTTTTGGCCTTGTGCCACATTTAAGCTAGGATTAGGATATTAAAACGAGTACTTCGATGCAGGTAGTGGCTAGCAAGCTTATCTCGCTAAATCAATTATAAGTGAACAGCTTAGAATTAAATAAATCTTTATAGGTTCAAATATCAACAATATTTATATATCCACATCTACACTATAGTTTTATGACCATAGACACTAACGCTGGAAGTAAATTATCGAAAATAATCCTAACATCGAAATTCAAAAACAATCACAGGAATGAAAACTTGGAAATCCAAAATTTCAGCATTGATATTTCTTGTTTCTTAATCATACTTATTATAAAACCCAGGTTGTGTGTGCGTGTGCGTGTGTGTGTGTGTGTGTGTGTGTGTGTGTGTGTGTGTGTGTGTGTTCGTTTATATATGGGATCGGATTTCCTACATTTTTCAACCGATTTCTACAAAACTTCACTCTTTTTTTGGCAGGTAGTGTTTCTTATTGTCTTGCACACTTTTTTCTTTATTTTTACATTCAGAATGCTTTAAAAATTCCATTTACAAGACAATTGTTTATAATAAAATTCTATTCAATCGGTAGACTCATAACGATTGAAAACAATGTTTTTGTTTGAGTTTGGGTTTGACCAATTCGTAAAAAAAAAAAAAAAAAAAAAAACTAATTAAGACATGTGTGTCCGTCAACCTTAAACAATAATCTTTGTCAATTTTATTTTTCAGTCTTTATGATGGTCGATACTTGATCTATCTCTTACTGTTACATCCCTGTGCAACGCCGGGCTCTACTGCTAGTATTTAAATAAAAATAATTGCAAGTAGAGTGGGGATCCAGACCCCCTGGACACTCAAAGTGTCCATAGGTACTGTATTTTCTGCCTTATTGTTTACTTTTCAATATAGTTCCTTGAGGAATCATCATAACATCGTCGAAGAAGCAAAAAAAAAAAAAAAACAGATAAAAATGAAATTGAAACAAATTGATATTTTATTTTATTTTTCTTATACCAAGGCAGCATATTTATTTTGTCCGCCATTTTATGAAGACTCATGATTTTAACTCTGAACACAGAGCTAAAATGGAAGTCAAATCAAATAACTGAAAATAGCAATTAACATAGGCATAAACTATACCGGAAATACGTGCGAATTGGAGGAACATGCGCAGGAAACAATAAACTACAGAAAAACTCAAAACTGATCGATGCATTTAAGTATTACATAAATATTTAAGCTTACCTTTTAAAAGTTCAACAATAATTCTTCTCTGGCCACTTAATTTAAAGACAATTTGATGTGCGTAGGTCCTTACTTTCCGTACAAACAATTATTTTTATTTCATGGGTAACTTTCATAAGGATTTCGCAATTAATTTCGATTATTCCCAAATTTATTTCCAAGTTATAAAAATTGTCAGCCTACATAAAAATTCGTCGCAAAAAAAAAAAAATCACGTAAAAAATCGTCGAAAACAGTCGCAGTAATGAATCCAAAATTTCAGGATTGCAGGTCCGGATCTGACCCGAAGTGTTTTTAATTTGCTCTCGGAGTCGTCCTGATTCCCAAATGGTATGATATGTTGGGCTAATGCCTCTAGAAGTAGAATTGAAAACACAGACTATTTTATTTTCAAACACTGTAATTTGAGAACAGTAATTTTTTTGAACATGAGCTATTGAAAGTTAGAGAATTGTGTCACTTTAATTGTTTTTATCGGCAGAAGCCAAGATGGCAGAATTCAAAAACAATCGTAGGAATGAAAACTTTGGAATCCAAAATTTTAGTATTAAAATTTCCTGTTTCTTAATATTTAAATAAAAATAATTGTAAGTAGGGTGAGGATCCAGACACCATGGACACTCAAAGTATCCATAGCTACTGTTATTTTTGCTAAATGTCGTGTCTTCTGACTTATTTTTATTTATTAAATTTAGAATATCTGTGTACGAAACTACATAAAAAATGTTTACTTTTCAATATTGAATTGAAGAATCAGAAAGCTGAGTTCGAATTCCATTCGAATTCACTTATTCACTTGCGTGCTAATACCCTTGGGAAAGGTATGAATCCGCTTTTCCCCCCCCCGCAGCTATGGGTAAATAGCAGGACAGACTGGGAACTATAACCTTGGGAGGCAACCGGTCTAGGAGAAGGCAAATCTCTTAATTGAAAACCGGCCAGGAGAAGGTTGGGTTCCATCAGGCTATTTTGCTCAAGAAACACCACTTCTACCGTAGCTGCAGCACACATGGTGCCCCTACGGCCCTACGGGTCACAGAATAAAAAACATAGTCTCTTTCCTTGCCAATTGCGAGTTGCTTGAGAACGGGTGGTGATTTCTGCCCTCCAAGGCACGGAAAAGATCTTTAATTCAAAGGGCGATTTCTGACATGACACTCAGGCTTCACTCGCTGAAATTGATCTTAGAAAGCAGTTGTATACATTATTTACATTATTCGGTCTATTGTCCACATCTTTGTCGCAAGATTTATTACAACGTTTCAGCCGTTGTACGCTCCGGCCTTCTTCAGGTGGTTGGAATATCGAACAACGTTTTATTTCGCCCACTAGAGTAGACTGTTCTAGTTCCACGTGCCATGTTTAATGGATGTCAGTTATCAGTTATCTCCTGTTAATTTGGCTCTGAAAGTTCTACACTGCTTTAACCTAGTATTGAACTCACACGGTTTGGGTCTTGTTACCGGATCTAACTAACGCCTTTAACCACTGTGACATGTGTCCTTGAGGACACATTCAGAACTTTCACAGAGAAATTAACAGGAGATAGAAGATAGCCGAACAGGATTTAGGATAAATAAGAAAAAGACAAAATTTATTAAGACAAAATTTATTAAGATGATCGCCAATGTCAAGGAGACACAGAGAAGACGGAGAATGATTGTGGATAGCCATTTAGGATCGCCAATGTCCTGAAGAGACACAGCACAATCTCCTGAGAAGACGGAGAAGATGAGCTTGAGCTTGAGTAAATGGATAGCAGAACAGGGTTTAGGAGAAATAAGAAAAGACAAAATTTATTAAGAGCTACAAAGGATAGGAAATTGTGGAGAAACATGATCGCCAATCTCCTGAAGAGACACGGCACATAGAAGACGAAGAATGAGCTTGAGTAAATGGATAGCA